ACGATAAATAGTATAAATATTCGAGAATAACTAGTATTTAATCAATGAGTGTATTGCTTTGGAATTATTGTGCCGATATTATATGAAAGTTATGTCGATGAAATCTTATATGACATTTTTTTTTTTTTTTAATAGAGCGAATGAAAAAGAAAAATAGTGGGAATCACGTGAAACGGTGCGAGCGAAACGGATTCCTCGGCGGATGCGATCGTGCACCGTGGAAGCCCGCCATTATCGCCGGTGTCTCGGGATTCGCTTGGCGAAGGCGTTCGCGAATCGAGAGATTCCTTTCGCCCAGTCCGCAACAATTTACTAAATTACAGAATGCCCAAGGTTACGAGTGCGCGACGAGAGGTTGGCGTCGGGGGAGGAATATTGCAAAGGGGGTGAGAAGAAGGCTCCGCGGGGGCGTGGGGCACCAGCGAAATCCTGCTGGACGGGAGGCGATGATGCGTGAACGATTCGCCTCGTCGCGCTCAGGATGCTTCGCATAGTCACGCGTGCGGTTGTTCATTAAAAGAAATCAAATACAAGACGAACAGAGGTGGGTGAAATTCTACGTGAAAATTTCGATGGACGCATACTTTTGGTTGAAATTATTATAGCATAACTGTTTTGTTCTTTAAGTAAAAGATACATTAAGGTTATTCAAGCTATTGATTTTTAAATCGAAGAGGAATTAAATGCACTGGTATTATTGATTTTTAAATGAAGCGTATTCAATTTATTCAAATCACTGATTTTTAAATGAACCTTGTCAAGTTGATGTACATTATCAATCACTCGAATGTAAAGAAAGGTATGCAGTTTATTGAATAAATTATTGAATTCATCTATTACTCGAGTAGAATTCTGTCCACCTCTGACGGCAATTAAACGCGCGAACGCGATTTCAATTCCGATAACCATGCGAAAAATATTTAAGAAATTAAACACTCTCGAGAATTTATCTCGCGTCGAATAAGAAAAAAGAATGATACATACTACTATACCTACAACGATAAAATTAGGAGAATAACACGTCGAAGTATCGCGTTTAATTAAAGGAAATCGTTAAACGAGAAATAAAGAGTAAGGAGACCGTGTGCGTGTGTGTTTGAGAAATAAAATATATTTATAAAAACAAAATTAAACGCGTATAAAATAATACAGATCGTAAATATTATACTTTATCTTCGTCTTCATAGGTTCTCTTTTTTCATTTCTTAACCTTCTCTCTCTTTCTCTATCTCTCTCTCTCTCTCTCATATCGTCTTACGTTATACGTCAGCTGTGTGTCGCAAAATACGAGAAAGAAAAACATGTACATATACAAAAAAAACAAAAAGGAGGAACAGAAACCGCGTGTCGTCGCACTAAATGTTACACATGTTCGTGTTATTTTCGCTTTCGCGCCGCATTTTCATTCGAACAAGCATCGTCGCACGAATAAAAACTCCATTCTCGATTTTCTTCTCGCCTTTTCGCTCTTTCCGTCGCACGTTACTGTATATTTGTATACGTATAATATATATATATACTATGTATAATCGACTCTCTCACGCAGACAGCCTCTCACTCTAGTAAACACGCACGCACACACGCGTACAAGTGTTCGCTTACAAGTGTTCGTCGACCCACATTATTATGGCACAAAACGAGGAATGGGCGTGCACGGAAATACTTGTTACCGGATAAGAATTCCATCGACTTTCCCTTTCTTTCGTTACCTGTCTTTTATTCTCGCCCCTGTGTCATTCGAAAATCTCTCTCTCAAACCCATTCGCGCACATAATCTCTCTCACACTGGCGCTCAAGAATTATTATTTATAATCTGTTCATAGATCTCTCTTCTCTCTCTGTGAAATGCCCGCGAAATTAGAATCACACGTGAGGGGAAGCACACAAGGTTCTATTACATCTTGTCTTCTTCCTTCATCTTTTTTTCTTTTCTTGTTTTTGGCACAACCAACGACAGTTTGGTACCGTGTGTATATATATACACATATGTATATATATAATATATATATATGTAATAATTTTGCACTTACGTGCTGGAACAATTATTTTACAATTACAAATATGCTCTCGCACCAAAAAAAAAACGCGCTCACGGAACGAGTGAAAAATACCAACGATGCGCGCGCGTCCCCTTTCTCTTCTCATAATAGTAATAATTATAATAATAATATTCGCAATACAATAATAGTATTAATAATACGAGAAACAAGTGCAACGGAGTTCCGTTCGTCTAGAAACAAATCCACGAGAAAGGAAAAATACGGAAAACTGATTTTCTCGCCCCGCTTCGCTCGTCGCTCTCTCTCTCTCTCGCGCGCGCGCGCGCGAAATCACTCGTCGTGGTGTTTCGCGAATAAATGCCCAAGTAGATTGATTTCGTAACGCGATTAATTCTATCATTTTCTTTCCCATACTTCATCCAACTCTCTCTTACTCTACTCGTCGCGTGATCGAAGAACGACAAAACGCGTCGATTCACTTTTTTGTCTCACAATTTTCTCCGACGCTCGTTAATTCACATTTTCACTCCTCGTCGCCTAATTTTTAACGCCCAAACGCATTCGCAAGACGAATGAATCTGACTCAATGATATGATTATCGGAAATATGTTGTAATTCTCGATCGTTCTCTCTCGCGTTTCGTTCACGGTGAGACATGGCACCGTTTTATTTTCTTCTCGCTACTTTCCTTCTCCCTTACCATTTTCCCTTCCTTCGTTAACTTTACGATTATCTAATAATAAAAACTGAGTGTACAGTAATACTGTTTGATATGTCTCTAAAACGTACATCCATCTCTAGAGCCCTCCCCTATTTTATCGTCTCAACTTCTCGCTCGACACTTCTTTTTTTTTTTTTTATTCTTCGTTTATATTAGATACTATATGTATAATGTTCTATTACACGCTCGTTACGACTGGCGGGCGACTCGAGGAACTTGGTGGCGAAATTGCGGTGAAAAGATCTCTACGAGGACTTGGAGTGTCAGAGATGGGCAAACTTTTCGACTGGATGGCAATTTTTTAGTGAGGAACGAAGGACATACGTCAGGGATACTTGAAGGCATCGAGCATTTACTTAAATTAAAATCGAAATGGAAATAGATTCTAATGGATTGAGAAACCAAATTGTAAATACAGGCAGTCGGCACACGCATTATTATTTAAAATAATCGAGTATTTTAAATAATAAAGCTTGTATTGGCTAACTGAGTTTTCAATATATTTAAATGAATAATGATTGCAAGAACGAACATGATGAATATGGTTTCGTGTGAATACAAAAATCTCCGCGGAATAAATTGAAGCAAGCTAAAGATTAAGTTAGAAAAACAATCTGCCCATCTCTGTCGAGTAATTTACGTCAAGATTTACGTGGCCAATTGGAAAACCATTGATATGTAATCTTTACAAAGTAATTAAGCATCACTGTTCAATTTTGAATTTCCTACACATCTTACGAATAAAAATAATGAATGCAAGTAAATCGTTCCGCCCGCACGGTTGCGCGTTCCGCTACGCTTCATTTTTTTTTTCTCTCTCTCTTTAATAACATTATTATTATTGCATTGGCTCTTTCATCTTTTCTTTCTTCCTTTCATTCATCGTTAAATTCCTGAACTCTGAGGTAGTCTGTTCTGGGTGTCATATTACGTAGTAAAAATGGCAAGAGTGCTATATAATTTATCGTCTTTTTTTTCCTTCTCCTCTCGCTAGCGCGTATTTATTTCTCTGTCACACTTATACGAAACGACTAAAATAAAAGAAAAAGGAAACTCGTGAAAGGACGTCATACGTGCAGACGTTTACGTGTGTATATACGTTCGTGGACGTGTACGTGTACGTGTACGTGTACGTGAGAGTGACTTATTCCCATTGCGCGAGTACAACGGGAATTGCGTTCGACTTTTTTCATTTTTTTAAATATATATGTACAATTGATTGTCCAGCTCGAAACAACTGGGGAATCAACCAAAATTTCAAGATGGGAGAAAATGGAAGTGCAGAGTGGAACGATGAAATATTGCGTATGAAATATTAATATTCTCCAATCATTTCGAGCGGTGTAGTTAAAAGGGTTTGTGCCCAATAAAATAACCTGTGGGACGGGACGAATTATTAACGACTGACGGAGCTGGATCATTTTTTACCTAGACACTATATCGTTTCGAAATCGGAGTACGTACAGTGTCGTATCATTGACGGAATTGGAGTAAATGCAGTTGAGCGACGTGCATCTAATCCTTGTCCTTTGTGTTGTTTAATTTAACCCAGATATTAATCAAACGTTTTTTAAAATTATTTTCTACTGTTGATTCGTAATGTGTTGGGTACAATACGTGTATAGTTGATCCAAAACTAAAGAAAATGAAACAAAAATATTTTAATAATATCTGCATATATAGCAAACGATTTAATAGTATCGATGATTTAAAGAAAGATCGTGTAACGATACTTCCTTTTAATCTCAATTATTAAATAGTAATACTATTATATTTAATAAAAAATGATTGAAAAATATAGTTTAAGGTGCGAGAATAGAAATCTGAATGGAAAATTTATTCTTGGAACTATTGATAAAGAATTCTACAATGGGTTAAAAATGACCCGGCTCCGCAATGCTCCAACTATCGAATCATTCGCTGCCCGACGGCCGCGAATGTATTTGTAACATAAGTAGACGCGCGAGGGCCAGTCAAAATCCAAGTTACTTATGGCAACGAATAATAAACATTCTTTTCAGTAAAATATAAATGTAATCTACACTCTTCAATGTAGCATTTAATTTATTCAAAATTATTTAACCTCTTCGGACTTGTTCTACTCTACAATGTACATGAACATTCGCGTTATTTCATAATACGAAATAATACATTTAACAAAATAATAAATGACACACATTTACAATTGATCTCTATCGAAGCTCGGCATCGAGAAACACGACCATGAGAGAAACGGTCCGACGAAGACCATGCAAATTAATATTCTTGTTCTGAAACACGTCATGCTTTATACGTATACAGTTTTCGTTCGCAATCTGCATATGCTAATTTACGTTTAAATGAACCTTAACTTTAACCCTAGGAATATTTCAGCGAGTCCTATTGTACATTGTCAATAAATTCAGCTACGTTAATCGAACTTGAAATAACACGAGGAACGCGTCTGTTCCTTTTAACCAAAGAAAAAAGAAGAATTCAGGCTCGAAGAGGTTTAAGGTAATCATCCTATATCGGGCAACGCGTAATTCGAACATAATTCACGCTCGTCCGTTAGACCCTCGGCGTGTCTACTTTCACGGTTAAAGAACATTAATAGAAAAACAATCACGTCTTTTGTCAAACTAATTACAAACAAGCAAACGACTCGTTTCTGGCAACAATAACAAACCGAACGGAAGTTATTCGAAAAAATAAATGCTCAACGTGTCGCGATAGTTGCAACCGTTTAAGAAGCCTAACACCGACCGATCGAACAATGATCAACGGAAATAATTACGCTTGAACCGAGCATACATTTTGTCACGGCGAGGTCAACGTTTATACTGTGTACAAGTATGGGTGTTTCAATGTGGTATACGTGTGTACGTGTTGTGTGCGCGACGAGCTGTGCGTAGCTCGAAGCGAAATTCGCTCGTGTCGCGAGATAGGAGAGTCTCGATCGTATCCTCGTTGATCGGCTCGTTTCGCGCTCCGCGGGCAATTAATCGAGCATTAATTGATGCAATTACATGCACCGTGGCTAACAGGACCCCTCTCGAGTGATTATTGATCGCTCCAACGAATTACGCCACGAATCAATCGCGACGCGTTCGCGGCGACACACCATCGAAACGAACGATCCATCGAGGAGCGTCCGAGATTCTCGCGATTTCGAGAAGTCCTGATCGTCGATATGTGAAGCGTCGCGACTACGAGCCAGTTTCGATTCAAGCGACGCGCGACTCGGAACTTAGGCTATCTTATGATTTAGAAAACAAAAGATACGGAGAAGACAGCGTTGCGAGAATTTCATCCCGCGACGGTCGCTGCTCCGAAATCGGAATGTATCGAAGTGCAAGGAATGTAAGAACACGAATTAAATCTTACTATCTGAAAAACTGAAGAAGAAGAATTTAGTTCTGCGAAATGAAATAGTTAAGGAAAGAACAGGTTAATTGTATAGCGAAACGCGGCCGTCGCTGTGAAAGCAATTGTCGCAAATTGAAATTTCTCGCGTCTTCTCGCGATTATCTATATCAACCGTGTCCTCTCCTCTCGCTTACTCCCTCGATAAAGTATGCTATATACGCTATAAAATACGAGTATTATGAATAGGTTCCGTAATCACTTTCTAGACGATATTCAATTGAGTTCGATAATTACAGTGACGATAATTAGAATAATCATACGCCTATACATTTAACATATTTTGTACAATCGATAAGCTTCGAAGGTTCGACGCCGCATTAGGAATTTGCTCCAAATTGCGCGTTTACTCAGAGTTTCTTAACGTTCGACCACAACTCTATGGAAAAAGAAAATACCGTGGATGGTCGCGATCCATCGAGTCGAGCACACCGACACGAGAACGTAAACGGTTCTCGCGTCGATGGTTCAACAGATCGACTCCTCGTATCGCGACCAGAACAAATTCGCGGCTAAAAATCACGGTTCTATGCGGACATCGAATCCGTCCGTCGGGACACGTGTTCGATATATCTCGATTCTATGTCAAATAAATATTACACCGTTGAGCAAAAAACCAATATTCATCCGAGCTCGACACTCTGCCCCTGAAGACGATTGATTCGACGATTGCTTCGAAGGAAACGAACGCGATACTTTCCCCGTTAATCTTTTTTCTTTTTTTTTTTTTTCGTTTTGTACAAACGGAATTCAAAGGAGCGATTCTTTGTTCGAACCAGGGGGATGGAAGATGGGGGAGAGGGAACTTGGATGACAGAGATACTCGGAGGCTGCCTTAAACCGAGAACTATATAATAAATACAAATTTGATCACGATCGAACGGTTGTGCACTCGAGAGTCCCAGTGTCTCTGATCGACGAAAAAACGCGAAGTTCGATTGCGATTGTCGCGCACAATTTAACGCTCTCTCACCTTTCCAAACGAACGAATCACGAGGGCGCCGTGGTCGATCACGCGTTCCTCGGTGCTCGTACATCTGAAATCACGCCCTTAGATGAACGTTGTGGTTGTTGGATTTCTTTTTGTGCGTCTCGAGGTGCTTCATCATGTGGTCCTTCCTGATGAATCCCTTGCCGCAATTATCACAGGCGTACGGCTTTTCGCCAGTGTGGAGGCACATGTGCCGCCTGAGGTCGGTTTTGTGGTTGAACTGCTTCGGACATATCTCGCACTTGTACGGCTTGTCGCCTGCGTGCTTCTGCAGGTGCTCCGCGTGCAGGTACTCGAGGGGGAACCTCTTGCCGCACTGATTGCATTTGAACGGCTTGTCGCCGGAGTGGAAGCTCTTGTTGTGTTGCGTCAGGTAGCAGGCCTTGTTGAAAACCTTGTCGCACTCGATGCACTTGTGAAAGCCGTCCTGAGAGATGTAGTGGGAGCCGGTGTTCGTGCTGGTCACCTGATGCTCCTTCGTGATCACGGCGTTCGTTTTCGTTTTCTGATCCTTGGAGTATTGTCTGCCGATATTAGGATTCAGTTCCTCCTTCGCCTGTATCATCTGCGGAAGATTGTTGTTCGCCTCGTGGTTGTTGTTGCGCGCGTGCTGAAGCGGATGCGGCAGATGATGGTGCGTCTGGATCTCGTACTGCTTGATGATCATGCCGTCGGTGTTCGGCAGCATGTCCGCCTCCATGTTGGACAGCGATTCGTATCGAGGCGGCGAATTTCTGTACGGATCGTAGGTAGATCCAGTCGAGTCGAACGATCTATCTTGAGGAGACGCGTTCTCCTCTGGACTTAGCCCCCCCACGTTAACGGCCTGAGGTTGATTCTGGCCAATTAAGAACCCGGTCACGTTGAATTGCGTGAAACTTGGCAGGGTCCTCTGGTGGTTACTGAAGGTCCCAAAACCGGGTAAAACATCCTGAGACTGTTGCTGCTGCTGCTGCTGCTGCTGGCGTTGCTGCTGTTGCTCCTGCTGCTGCTGGTGTTGAGTTTGCTGCCGATGTTGAGACTGCCCGTTAAGCGTCATCGGCATCTCATTACCAGTAGTAGTTAGCTGGATGGTGATAGACTCCAGCAGGCCCGGGATGTTGGTAGTAGTTGTAACGTGGGGGGGCAAGGCGTTTGGGTACGGCTGATGAGGCATCGTAGTACCCCCCATCGCCGTGGGCGAAGCCATTGCTGGGTGGACCGAGCCCGGCGTTATGGGAGACGACGAACTCATGTGGTGCGGGTGGGACGAGCCCATTGGCGAAGGGGAATTCAGGTGGGGCGCCGGCGGCGGGTGCATGGGCGATATGGGCGAACTCATGGGATGGTGGACCGGAAGTTGGCCCGACGGCGAACCCATTGGCAGGTGGTGAAGTTGCTGCTGCTGCTGTTGCTGCTGCTGATGGTGGCCCAGCTGGGGTGACGGGGAACCCATTTGGTGCTGATGGTGGCCCGCCATTGGGGATTGCGCCGGCGAATTGAGCGGCGGTACCATTGTGGAGCCCAAGTGGACCGCCGAAGGCTGCTGCTGTTGTTGCTGCTGCTGCTGCGTTAGAGCCGCCGCCGCCGCCGCCGAAGACTCGCTGCTGCTGCTGCTGTTGCTGTTGTTGGAATTGTTGTTGTTGTAAAGACTGGTGGTGGTGGGCGTGTGCAGCAGGCCCCTCGCCGCCTCGCCCGAAGGACCTGCCATCAAGTTTGGGGGACTCCCGGAAGAAGATAATTCTGGCGATCTCGACGATCCCCCGCTTCTGCCACCGGAATGGTTATCTCTACCAGGATGATGATGAGCGCTGATAGGCATGTTGGCCGGATCCGGTTGATTGCTCTGCTTAACCGCGTTCTTGTGCAACGTGGTATTGTAGTGCCTTTTCAGATGGCCCGAGCTGGTGAACCACTTGTTGCACGCGGTGCAGTTGTAGGTCTTTGGTCGTCGCGCCTCGTTACTTTTCCACGATTGATTGGCTATCGGCGGAGGCTTAGGCGGTTGCTGGAGAAGACCACCGGGCATCTGGTGGCCAGGTATCGGTTGCGTGCTCGTAATGATAGGCGAACCTGGATGTCGCGGCGGTTCGACGGGCATGTGCTGCCCGCGCATGAATTGACCCTGATCTGGGAGCGGCGAAACACTGTCCATGGGCCCCATCGGCGATAAACCGGGATGATAATCGTGCGGCTGAGCGGTTGGCGGCCAACCGAGCATAGAACTCACCGAATGCGATCCTGCCCGTTGCTGCTGCTGATGCTGCTGTTGTTGCAGCACCTGCTGCTGGTGTAGCTGCATCTGCAACTCTTGTTGCTGCTGCTGGTGAAGCCTCATCAGTTCTTCCTCGTACCTGTGAGTTTGAACCTTGTGAGAGTCCAGATCGAGAATCTCGGCCTGTTCCTCCGGTTCCTGCTTCACCTCCACTTTCACCGTCTGCCCGCTGTTATAGTCGTAACCAGATTGCTGCTGCTGTTGTTGTTGTTGCTGTTGCTGCTGCTGCTGCTGCTGCTGGTTAGACTGAGGCGGAGACGCGTGCAATTGTTGCTGCTGTTGATTCTGCTGCTGAGGACTGTTGCCCAGTTGCTGATATTGATGTTGTCCGGGATACCCTCCGGGAGAATTCGAGTGACTCGTTCTCACGTGTTCGCCCAGCTGATTCGCGTCCTCGTACACCGCGCCGCATTTTTCGCATTGAATCGGCGGGCTTCTTGGACTGGTGGAACTAACCGAGCTGGTACGTTCCGGTGGAAAATGCTGTTGATGCTGGTACGGATGGTATCGCGAATAACCTCCACCGCCACCACTACTGCCGCCATTGTTCTGCGCGTCGTCTCCCGGCGGTGAGTAATGATGGGGCAGGATATAGGCCGGTTCGTTCTGCATAAAATAGTTGGCCTCGCCGAACATCGGCGTTTGGAAGTGATTGTAACTTTGACCGGCAGGCTGTTGCTGTTGCGGCTGCTGCTGCTGCTGTTGCTGCTGAGAGGACGTAGGGTCTTGAGAGGGCGGCCTCGAGGATGGTTCGCTCGAGTCCGCCGGCGCGGTCACGCTTTCGCGTTTAACGCCCACGTGACTGTTGTGATTGCCTGCCTTGCTGTTGTTGTTGTTACTCTCCTCCTGCTGGGCCTGGCTCGCCCACTGACTTAGCAGGTTCTCCTGGTGGTATCGCAGGTGCACCTCGAGACTTTTGTCGCTCTCGAAGTAGAGGCCGCAGTCCTTGCAATGATGCTCCGGATTCGAACTGCTGCCCACGTACTGTTGCTGTTGTTGCTGCTGCTCGACACTCGTCATTTCACTCATATTGTCTCTCTCGGTCGTTGCTCCCACGCTGTGTCTCGCATAGACGTCGACTCCTTCCTCGTCTCTCTAAACCCGAGCACGGCACTTGTCCGTAATACGAGGGACGGAGACGAACGACGCACCTCGCACAACCGAAATCGCCGCTGCACACATAAGCGCGCGTACACGCGCTCTCGCGCGCGCACCAAGTGTCCCCCCGATAACAGTCTGTCCTCGGTTTATCGGCGACGTTAGTTTTCTACCGTATCACTGACACAGAACGTAGCGAACGGTTTTGGGAACTGGTGCCGGGTAAACACGCGCGTCAAGTCGCGACGTCTCGCGCCTCCCTCCTTTCAGCCGTCGACGACCGCCGATGCGGGATTCCTCGCGTACGGCACATGGACACGATGCCTCGAAAGACGCGCGAAAACTGGAGTCACGTGAGCCGTCGTAGCGCGTAATTTTAACTTTGTTAAACGAGGACGTTGCGGGACGAGGGGGGCACGAACGAAAAAAGGAAAGAACGGAAAAAAGAAAAAAAGACGGGGTAAAACGTGTTCTACATTTATCATATGATCGCACGTACGCCAGGCAAAGTCCAGATTAACCTCGAGCGCTCCACCTGGTGCGACGTCGAGCCTATCACCGCGTGCGGCATCGTCGTCTTCGCCTCGACGATGTGCCGACGACGACGACAACAACAACGGTTCGATGCACGATGGCTGCTCCGAGCTGCTCTTCCGCTTCAGCAGAATACGCGTCCACCCGACGTTGTGTCCGAAAAACTCGCGAATTCTCGAAAACCTTGACGAACCCGCGGGAAAGTTTGATCCGTGCGAAGGTAAACAAAGGGAACGAAATAAAAATAAAAGAAAAAGTAAACAAAGATTTTCGCGTCGCGTGCGATTTACATGTTGGCTCGATCCCTCGATTTCCCCGTCACTCCTTCCCGAATCTCCGTTCGACTGGCCCCACGAGCGATTTCACGCGGTCCAACGGCAATCGGGACTCTTCGTGTTCGAATCATCGGTCGTATCGCGATCGATCACTTCTCACTTTGCTCACTGGTCTCGTGTCCATTCCGTCACTAATGGATTGGAGCAGAATTGTCCACCCGTTCGACTCCTGGACTCTTGTTATCGAGAATCGAGGATTTCGCGCGATATCGAATGTAGCCCGGCACCTCGAAGAACGCAGAACTGTTAACCACGAAGCGCGGGCACAAGACGAGAGCGGTTTATCCTTCGAACTGCGATTGTAAATAGCCTAGCGATCGTCCTCAACCTCGTGTCCCTCTCCCCTCTTTTCCACCTCGCCCCTCTCTGCCACCACTGTCCGTTTCTCTCTCACTCTATCCTGTTCACACACTCTCCAGACCCGCGTCGTACGACCGCCGGCACTGTTCTGTCGGTTGGAATTCCGGAGTTTCGAGTCCTCGGGCTCGCGCCAAGGCACTGCTCTCTCCCCCTACCTTCGAAGCGCCTTCTCTGCCGCCCCCTCTCCTCCGACACTTGATTTGCTCTAGCACCAACTCTGTCTAACGTGCCTGGTCCTCTCTCTCTTTCGCACCGATTGCCCCCCTCCGCTCCCCTCTAACCAGCCACGGAACGAACCATCGCGCTCTCTTTCCTACCTTTGGTACACCTACTCCAACCTTCTCCTCGTGTTTCCCTCCTTCGACGTTCTTAATGTTAGTCGCCGGATCGGACTTTCTCCCTTCAACCTTTCCCCTCGTGGTCCATCCTTGTTTAGTGTCCTACCCTTCCCTCCACTGGCTTTCCAGAATAGCTTTCTGTCTCCCTCCGACTCGCAAAGCTTGGCTTCGTCTCTCGCTTCGAACGACTCCCTTCCTTCTCGGTCGGACGCTTCGCGGACTCCTCTTCTTTCCTCCAGCGGGATCGCCCTCCCTTTCCCACCTAGCACCATCAACCTCAGCCCCCTGCTCGTGACGCTGTACCACGAGGTGGAGCGACGAAGAAGGAATCCACGATAGAAAAGGGAGAAAGAGAGGTGAACAGGTCGAGACAGCCAACCAAATTTGAGACGTCGAGCGCTTCTTGCCCCCACCAGATCCGACTTGCCCCTCTGCCCTTCTGTTACAGTCCACGGTTCCGCCGGTTCTCGGGTTTCTTCTCTCTCTCGCCCCCAGCGTTCCCTATCACCCCCTCGTCTAAAAGGACGACGAATCCTACGGGACGCCGAACGTTTTTCTTCCTCGTCTGTTACAGCTCCCTTTGAGTTTCCCTTCTCTTTTCCGCTAACGTCGACGCTTCGTTGTTCCTCTTTCGCGCCCTCCTCCCTCTAGCCGTCTTTATCCCAGCTTCGTCTTCTCGTTCCTCCTTGTACGATCGGGAGAAGAGGACGGAACGAGGCGCGCATGGCACAGGAATCCTTGCGCGTCCGTATCCTCGGCGTTGTCCTTACACACGAAACTTTATCCGACGAGATTTTTCGGAGCCCCGTCGACCCGGAGTCCACGCTTTCACGCTGGGATTTTCGTGCCCGATGGACGTCGTTTTCTTGCGACTGCCGCGCTCTCTCGTTTCTTTATTTCCTTCGTTTCACGCCCGATACGTTTTAGGAAGGATTTACGAAGGACACGCGCCAGAGATGGGACGAAATTTATTAGCCGAATAAAATTTTCGAACAACGAATGGAACGGCCGTGTTTACTCCGTTTCTCGGTGGGGATGAATTAGAATTTCAGTTGCGGATGGCTTCCGCAATTGGGGGAATAAAAGTTCGATTGAGGGATGTGTTTAGAGATCTAAATGGAAAAATTCATAAAAAAATCGAATCGTGGGACGAACTCGTCCTATATTCAGAGGCTCTTTAAAGACTAATATAACACATGCATCGCTGAAGGATTACGTTTTATCGTTACTTAATGTACGTTATAACGTTTAGGTTTCTTGGTGCGCACGAATGCAGCAATATAATAGTGGTATGCTGTTCGAATGATATTTTGTCAGTCTGCCGCGCAGCGAGATTGAATATCTCGCTTTCACGGCGTTCGTTGTTCGAGTTTCGGCAGCTGGAGGTCGCTGACCATTCCGAAATTCGCGGCGATATCCTTGAGGATCCTTTGCAGTTTGCACCGACGTGTCTTTGGCGATAAACTTGTCCGGGAAATTTTATACGAGCGAATCCACACCGAGGACCTGGTTTCATTTTATGTTGGTCTTCTCTTTAAGTTGAATTATAAGTTGAGTTGACGAATCCTGTCCTTTCGTCCCCTATTTATATCTTTATTATGGTACAGTCGATAAACGAAATAAAATTCGTTGTGTGATTTCACAGCTCCGACTAGAATACTTGACTTTGTACTGGTTCTTTTCGTAATCACAAAATCTAAAGAATTAGATCGAAGTTTGAAGACTCACCCTCTATTTACAACGCTATTTTTACTACCGTGCTCTAAAGAACTAGGTCGTCTACTTTCACCCCAAGTTTTTCTACTGTTCCAGGCTTTAAAATAATCTTGAACAAACTTGAGGTCAGCTTCATAAAATATGTAGAATATTCTCCAATAACCTGTATGCTCAAATCAGAAGGAATCGTCATATCCTCCCTTCATTTTGGAGAAAAAGGGTGCTTTGCTTGGCTCTTCGACAACCCAGGTGCCAGATGAAAATCAATCGTTACATCAATTTGCCAAATTCAAGACAATTCGAACGTAAAATCTCCACTTACACGCGACGTTCGTCTAAGAAACCCGTTCATACGTGTTGAATTAAAACTAACGAGTAAACGTGTCGTGTCTCGCGTTCAATCGCCTCCTTCCATAGGGGGGGTGGGGCGTTTTGTCTCACGAAATTACCCGCTTAACAGGTTCAAAGCGGCCACGAGCCCTCGCCGTAGGTGTCTGCGTGAAAAGTGCGTAGGTATTATTCACCGATAACCAAACGCCTCCTCCCCGTTCCTCGATCGTGTCCCGCCACCCTTGGATCCCCCTTCGATCGACGCCACCCCGCAACAGCCGCGACGCTGCTCGACGGGGCAAGGAATAAAAAAAAATGTGGGTAACCTTGCATTTTTTTATGATACCTTTTTTTCCACGCGACGAAGCGGGTCCCTGTGGCCCGTGCACTTTGCATACGGAATGCGACAAGTTCCTCTCTCCCGCCCCTCGATCGACCCACCCACCCCCTTCCCTCCCACACCAGGCGAGAGGACTCCGCCTCGCTTCTCCCGCGCCACTTTATTCCACCTATGAATATGTTTATTACGTTGCACCGCGGTCACCTGACGCAAAAAAAAGGAAAAAAAGAAATTCGGCCCGCGTGTGGCCAGCCAAAGGCGACCGGCACGTGCTGTCAAGACGGATAAACGTCAGTCGGGCTCGCGCTGTCGCGCATCCTTTGATCTCGATTCAATTATACCGTCGAACACGGGGCTGTTTGGTAATCGTCGTTCGTCGGCGCTGGTTAAGGGGTTACGTACACCTGAAGGCTGCGTAGGAAGCTTCGACTTTCGGATTTCTCATTGTTGGACTCATTTTCGACACTGGGACCATTAATCGCTTTGTGCAGTGAACGACTCATTTGTAACTCAGGCCTAGCGAGAAATAAAGTCATCAATACCATCCGTGAACATTTTTCAGTGCCCCAAAACCAATATGAAATCATATACTGCAGGCTCAAGCTTTCGGATCATACAATGCCAACTGCAATTAATTTCCAAATAACCACCATTGCTTTACAACCCTAACCCGACATAACTCTTCTGAAAAGAACTGCGCGATACTACGAAAGCTATATTTTCCTTTTTCGCAACGCCTCGAATCTTTATACTTTACGACCCTGCCAATACTGAAACTGCTCCACTAATAAAACAAATCGACGTCAAAGCTCGGCATCGAAAGAACGAAAGTCCCGTACCCGTTTCTTATTGTTTTACGACGATATCGTGGCAGGTAAGCGACAGTACACGCGAAATTGTTATTCACGCAAGCCCAATAAAAGAGCGGCAATAAAAATCGCCGCGGCTAGGAAAGTACACGGTCGCCAGGAAAATCCAAGCTTGGAAATTGCAACGTTTTATAACGGATGTTCCGAGCGGGGCACCGATAATAGGGGCGAAAGTTATATTGACGGCAATCGGCCTCGATTATTATCGAGACGCATAATCGAGTTCCCCGACGGCGAAGTGAAGCACTTGGAGCAATTCGAAATAATCTAGGAGACACGCCGGAAAGTGTTACCTGGAAGAGAGCTGAAAACGTGGCGTCGAGAGGGCAGGTTGCGGCGCGCGGGGAGGAGCGGAAGGTGGAAATTGTTCACAAATCTAATTGTACGACGCGCCTTTGTACTTCGTCCTTATTGTTCTACTTTGTACCTGGATGTTTTATTGCGGCCCATTGTGGCCGCCTTAACCGTGCAACGTAATTAATTCTGAGTTTCAATTTTCTTTTGCAGGGAAATCATTTATGAATACGCTCCTCGGCCTGCGCGACCGCCAAACCATGATTATTCTCTCGCGCCCAGCGTCTTCTGCACCAGCTTCGTGATCGCTTCTTATTTTCGTCGAGCGATACAAATATTGCCAGCGTGAAACGTGAATTATCCTTAACGAGTAGCTTCTGCGCAAGAAAAGAAAAATGTGTTTATTGCGATTAACGATTCGAGATCGTAACGTACGAATTTTGTTTCTTGTATTATTTGGTTCCGATTACTATCTAGTATGACAGACGTTCGCGAAATCAAATGAATATTTATCACTCCCGCCGTTTCAAATGCGTCATTGAATTCGGCCGCGTATTTTGCATCGAGTTTATGTTGCCATACTTATGAGAGAAGGAACGAGGCGTACAAGATTTGAATAATACATCCCTCGATCGCATGCGACACGAAGAGCTGACGAAAGAAAAGTAAATATCGCCGAGCCTCGGCAAACAAGGTCTATCCGGGCCGAAGAGTTAGCGGAACGATCTTCTCTCCGCCAAAGATCAACTTCCTGACGTCGAATTGATGAAATTGAAATTTATTGTCCCGCAGAGATGATCTATCACAATTTTTACGCGATTAAACAAGAGCATCCACGCCGATCATCGACACTTTCTATTATTTTAACCTACCGTTAATTTTGGATGTTACAAAACTTGGAATAGAATTTCTATAAAATTAGGGATATCCGTAAGTGGGACAATCGCGAATTCAGACGAATATTTATTACAATCGTGATTCGACCTCTGGCGCTCTTCCTGCATTTCGCGCACGTTCGATCGACAAAGAGAACAGCAAGCTGGAGCTTCTGGAAGATAGACTTCGGCAGAAATAACGCGGTCTACGTGGCCGGAAACAGGCAAAACGCTCGCTGGCACCTTCACGACCGTGTTTTCAAACGAAAAACGACGTCGATTTTCAAACGAGCTTCCTGTCGATGAGATAGGCCGCGGTACATCACCTGTGACACGGAATTCGACAATAACTGAAATGGAAGTTCAACAATTTTCAATCAGCAGAAAAATGGAACGTCATAATCAATGATTGGGCTTACTTGAAAGTTCTATTTTTGTTTCGAATGCATTTAAATTCATATGAGCCAAGAAGAAGTAATGCCGCGAAAATAATAATAAATAAGTATTTCGAACTATTACGTTACACGAAAAATGGAATTTACCAGCGTAAAAGAATTATTGTATACGCTAAAGATAACATGGTCATCGAGGATCGGGAATCTGGACCGTAAAAGGTAGCAGAGGTAGGAAGATCATGTTTGAAATTCCAAAGTAAAAATACATGAGAGGGAAAAAGTGTCCGACGGATTCGATACTCTGCTCGTGGA